TCGTTTGGTGTGTTTGTTTTGGTTTTTCACAGGTCTAGGTGTTGAACCTAGAACCTTGTGCATGCCAGACAATGTTCTGCCACCACCTATCTCTTTAAGCGTCTTCCTTTTTCTTTTGTGATGGAATTTCCTGCTTCCTGGTGGGCGTTGAATTCTGTTTGTAACCCAGGTTGGCCTTGAATTCATAATCCTGGTGACTCAGTCTCCTGGGCAGCTAGAATTGCAGGCCTATGAATGACTGGATGGCCAGCCTGTGCCACCAAACCCAAGCTAATTTATTTTAGTTTTGCTAACCAAAAATAAATAGGACCTGTTTTGTAATTCCAAAATAAATTGAAAATTGCAAGATGATTTTCATATTCAATTAGGTATAGCTAATTCCAAGGGTTTAAATGTGACTGCCTCTATTCTCACTATTCGTTTTAGGAGATTAATGTTTTCAAGTGTATTTATGCCATGAGTTACAGCAAAAAAAGGAAATTTCTATTCATTTTTGCCAGTAATCCAAACAGCTAATTAAAATTGTGTTTCTCATGTGGATGTAATTGTTTCAATGGCTAGATTAATGTCCAACAATTGACCACAGTTTATTCTCTGACAGTGTTGAAGTTCTTTTTAGCTGTTTTGCATAGCAAAACGCTTTCCTCTCATTATCCTATAAAAATATGTTTCCAGTGTTTAATTCTTCAAGGAACAAACAGTTGCTCTGCTGAAAATCTTCCATGTTCGGTCCTCAAGACGTAGTTTTTCTGTTTCACTGCTGTGTAGTACGAGCACCATCTTCCCTTCATTGCCAACCCATTTGCTAGTACAGAGCATCGATTTAGCCAGCTCTGTAAGAAGTAAACTTAGCCCCACGTGGTAGCACCATATATACTGAGTTCTTTAAAAACTTGCTGCCTTTGTAAAACAATCTGACTAAATAGGCTGTGTTCAGAGAGAGGGGTAACAAGAGCTGGCAAGATGACTCAGAGGTAAACGCACTTGCCACCAAACCTGAGGGCCTGAGTGTAATCCCCAGAACCAGAATGATAGAGGAACTAACACAAGCTGTCCTCTTATCGCCACATGTGTATCATGGTGGGTGCACAAGCACACCAAAGCTCAAGTAGAGAGAGAGAGACAGAGAGAGACAGACAGACAGACAGACAGACAGACAGACAGACACACCACACAAATGAATAAAAAATAAATATAAATTTTTAAAATTTTAAAGAGAGAACAATCATAAATAACCCAGGCCTATGTAGGATACTGTCCACAGCAAGTAGGGTCAACATTGTTCAAGACAATAATGATACTCTTCGCTTCTTGAGATGAATAAAATTTGAAGGAAAATCCTATTACCATTTTTAAAAGGAATTCACACCATAGAACAAATCCTTAGTTTTGAACTTCCTGACAGCATACACATTTCAACTCAATAAACCATTTTTCTATTCCAGAAAAAAACTTTATTCCAGGAAAATGAAACCTTAAGTTTACACAAAAACCTCTACGTATATGTTTAAAAAAATTTATGAGTAGTAGCCCCAAGTTGCAAACAGCCTAAATGCTCTTCAATGGGTCCATGGTAAAGAAACCTGATATATTCATACCATAAAAGAATTATTCTCCAACAAAAAGAAACGCATTTTTTAGTAGGTGAAACAGCCTATATGGAGCTCCAGAAAAGTATGCAGAGTGAAAAAATTCTAAAAGATTGCATACTATATAGCTCCATTTATAAAATTCTTGAAATAAGAAAAATACAGAAATAGAGAACAGATTGATGGTTACCAAAGGAAGGGGGTGGTGCCGAAGGAGGTGAGAGAAAGGGTATATTTAGAAGGACAGAAGTGTCCTGCATCTTGACTATATCAATGTCAATAGTCTGGTAGAAATAGCATGCACAATAGCACATCTTGGTTTTACAAGATGTTAGTATTGGGAGAAACTCTTTAGCAAGTACATGGGATCTCTATATATTATTTCTTAGTTACATGTGGATCTGCAATTATGTCAAAATAAACTTTAATTTAAAAATCAATTCTTTTGTCCTCCAGATCCCTTCTTAACATCTGATGCTGCCATTAACAGTGTCCCAGTCTGTTCATTACCGGAGGGTATCAGTGAAAAATGCTCTCCTCCAATTTAGGAAAAGCTCCTCCATAGCAATCATTCTGTTATGGCACGTGCTCTTTGCTCCGTGCAAGTTTATTGATGATATTCTTTCTTAATGGCTTGGTCCTTCTTTCTAAACGATTCAGTTGGAAAACAATGAACAGCATCTCTTATTCTGTTGAAAGCCCTCTGTGCCATGGTGCCACCAGATTTGAATTGGTCTTCAATCGATAAATTACTGAATTTCATGATCCATATTTTGAATTACTTTTCTGTGCCCTATGATATGTATTTCTTCATAGATTTCTATTTTGTTATAGAACTACATCAGGAAGTGTCAGTTGTGTTTAGAAAATAGCACTGCAGCCCAGGGCACCCTCAAGAGCATCACATATTGGAAACAGTGGGCAGTAGTTAGGTTTCTAGAATAGAGCTTGGCCTCACCTGTGACCGACCTGCTGCTTCCATCTGCACACAGTTTCCTTTTACAAATAAAACAAAAAGTTTTTAACATAGTGCCTTCACAATACCTGTCAAGGTCTAAATGTTTATGATTCTAAGATCCTAGAGAAGTTATGACCAGTCCTACAGGATTGATTCAGAGATAATGCATTCAGTTCTTAATCACTGCACCTTCTGTGTTTTAACTTCCACTGTGGATGATGGAGGTTGGACATGGAATCCACTCTCCCTTACCAAGCTGAGAACAAGGTGAAGCTCTAGGTAGGGAAGTCATCAAGACTATGGGAATAAGAGCCCAAGCTCTCAGGGTTTCTGTCAGATGAAAGGCACCTGACACATCCTGTGCCCTTGTCCCTACCATGCCTCCTATGTTTGAGCTGAGCATATTTTAATCACATAATTTAAATCAAATATGTAGGAAGAGAACATAGCTAAGAACAAGCCAAGATACTCTCCCAGCAAAGCTGAACTGCGCTCTTTATTTAAAGGGTGTAGTTTGAGGATGTGTGTAAAGGGTTTTACACTTTAGCAACATTTTATGACTTACCCATTCTTTTTAATTTACTTACATTAAATTTACTTTTAAATTTAAAAATATTATTATTAGTGTGTGTATGAGAGAGAGAGAGAGAGAGAGAGAGAGAGAGAGAGAGAGAGAGAGAGAGAGATGGGGGGGTGCGTGCCACAGAATATATGTGGAGATCAGAAGAAAACTTTATGCAGTCAGTTCTCCTGCTTCATTTTCGTGTGGATTCTAGACGTCGAGTCACCAGGCTCACCTGACCAGCACCTTTACCCACTGAGCCATCTTGCTGGCCCTGTGGATTATCCATTCTTAAAATGCGCTTCTATCCAGTTCTAGAAAAAAATTCAGCCAAATTAACTTTGACCAAAATAATTTGAGATATTTCCTAATCATCTGAGATATGCAATCCAAAGAGCTTATCACAGGTTTCCACGTGAGGCATTAGAGAGATACCAAAATTGAATTATTTGCCTTGGGGCCAGAACTTCACCAGGTTGTGCTCTTTGCTTCAGAAAGAGATGACTCAGAGGATGAGAAAAAAATACTGTTTGGAGTTGCTAGAGGCTAAGTAATTACTGGGCATTCCTAAAAGAACGTCTGAGACATCAGACTGCCATAGGGATGCTTTCTGTTGAAGCTAATTTTAGCTGAAAATCTAGGAAGATTTTAAAGATACCCTTTACTGAAAAAAACTCTAGAATGTGTTGTATTTTAGAATTGTACTTTCTAGGCTAGGGAGGAGGTTCAGAGAGTAAACAGCTCGCTAACATGAGGACCTGAGTTTGGATCCCTAGAGCCCACATAAAAAGTTGGGTGGTTTTTCATGGGCTTCATGGTGCTTGAAACCTCAGTACCAGAAGGCAGAGACAGATGGATTTCAGGTACAGGAGTGAAGGGCTCACAGATCAACCAATCTAACCTAACCAAAACAGTAAACAGAAAGTTCACCAAGAAACCACATCTCAAAACATATGAGGGAGAAGTATTGAGGGAGACATCCCAGCATCAACCTCTGGCCTCCACACCAGCATGAAAGGGCAAGTATATATGCACACACATGCGTACAACATGTACAACACACACACAAGAAATGTATTTTTTAAGATTTTTAACATGGCAGTTTGATTTTTAATCAGCTGTTCATATGGAATAAAGAGGCAGGCTACATTTCATTCAAGTGCTCTCTAGAGATACACTGCAGAAAATGTCCATCAAGTTAACATTGTACTTAGATGATAACACCATTTAACTCTGTCTCTCTCACCTTTCAGTTGTCTGTAAGACAACCCTAGGTCCTGGTTGTACTTTATTCTATTTTGCTCTCGAACCTGGCCTGACAGGTTTGACTGCATTAACAGGAAGCAAAGAAATCTAGGAAGAAGGAATACATACAGTGACCACTTTTCTATCCTGGAGTCTTTAACAAGAAACATTATTTCTTCCTAACTGTACATTTATAACACACACACACACACACACACACACACACACACACAAATCCTATCTTACTATGGCTTAAAGCATGGATTATATGTCCTCTATGCACACAGACATAAATGCACATAAATACAAAGGATAGATAAATGGATGTATGTATGTATGTATGTATGTATGTGTATGTTCAATTATTCATGCCAATTCAAGAAAGCTCTTTACTTTACCCCCTAGTGTCCAAGATGTGTGATGCTGTAAAATAGTGGCTCTCTCTAATGCAGACCAATAAGATTCTGCCACAGTAGAGTTCCTGAACCCTTTGGTTATTTCACTGAATAGCATTTTCAATGTTTTTTTTTTCCTATGTATCCAATATCTTCTGAAATAAGATGAGACCCACTAGTCTTTTATAGTCATTGTACTATACATTAGTAAGACATCCTTATATAGGCTCTCCCAATGTTCTATATTCCAGAGTATCCCACCCTCCGCAGGTTGTCCTGCCCATTCAAAACTGGGAACCAGAAGACAAGCCCCGCAAAGAGGAGGAAGTTGGACCCTTGGTGGAACATATTTATGAGGTAATTATTTTTTATGTTAAAGTTTTGCTGAGGGTTTGTTCAGGAGTTTTACTAATAAGCATTGTATACAATTTTAGAAAATCCCAATCCAAGGTCTCAGTTTTATCTATTGCCAAGATTTGTGCTACTCCACCATCATTTGGCAATGCGTGTTGATACGCGTCCTCCTAAATTACCACACACAGGAACTCAATCCTCAGTGATAAGAGTTGGTGCATGGTAAGAAGCAATTATTACTGTTCTTTTCAAAAAATAGTATTATTTGTTCTCCATGTACTAACTGGAGAGCCTATGTATAAGATCAACAACTCACTCCTTCAAATCTATTTCATTTTTCCTGTGTTTTCAGATATCTTTAAAACCTACCTATGTCTAAACTAAAGATCACCAACTACAAGGAACCAGTGTAATAGTGTATGAGTTATTCACTATTGTACTGAAAATGTATATACAATTTATGAGGTAGGTACATGACAAATGCAAATAAGTGTACTTCTTATATAACAGAAATCAGAAATGAATAACTCATTCTGAGATCTGAAATATTCCACTGACAGCTGTCTTTAGAGACTAATGGAACACATGGGGAAAGCTCAAAGGTCTTTTCCCACATGAAGTGTTAAATAGGGAAATCATTTACTGACATGCCGCCTAAAATATTTAAAGCTTTTTTTTTTTTTTTTTTTTTTTTTTTTTTAAGACAAGGTATCCTTGTAGCTGCAGCTGGCCTGGAACTCCCTATATTGACTAGGCTGGTCTTGATCTCACAGAGATTCATCCGCTTCTGCCTCCCAAGTGCTGGGACTAAAGGTGCCACCATGCCCAGACACTTAAAACTCTTAAATGAAAAAAATACACGGAGCTGGAGAGATGGCTCAGCAGTTAAAAGCACTGGCTGCTCTTGCAGAGGACCTGGGTTCAGTTCCCAGCACCCACATGGTGGCTAACAACCATACTCTAGTTCCAGGGGATCCAACACCCTCTTCTGACCTCTGCAGACATTGCACAACTTGGGTGCACTTACACACATGCAGGCAATTCACTCATGCACATAAAACAAAAATAATTTTAAAAATTAAGAAAAATAAACATATCACAGAGGGTTAATTTAGTAGTCATTCAGAGTGCACTTCACTTTCAGTGAACGCAGCAGAGGGTTTTGGAAAGGCATTTCCAAAGCTGCAAGGCATTTCTGATAAAGATTCCTTTTCCATCCTTTTTCTGCTCCTTTCCTGCCTCTCATCTCACGGTTCATAATATGACTTCCATCTCAACCACAAGGATCTATGGGTTACTTGCTCACTGCTCCGATAAAAACACTCTAATAAAAGCAACATACGGGAAAAGGTGTTTGTTTTGGCTCACGGTTCCCAAGGGACACAGTCCACAATGGTGGGGAAGGCGTGGCTAGAGCATCACATGGCATTTGTACTCAAGAAACAACTGCACGCCGGCGTGCATGCTCAGCTCACTTTCTCCACTTTATACAGTCCAGGATCCCCTGCCCAGGGAATGATCCCACCCACAATCAACAGGGGTCTTCCCACATCAATACAAAATCAAGATCAGCCCCCACAGACCAGACATACCCAAAGGCCCATCTCCCAGATAATTCTAGATTCTGTCAAGTTGACAATTAACACCAAACATCTCAATGAGTTGTGAAGAACATTCTCTCCAGTTAACAATGATACCATTCCCAAACATGAGCTGTTCCTCCATGCTGAAGAGGTCATACCCCTGAGGAGTATGAAGACAGCCCCCCAATCTGTACCTTCAGAAGTCCTGGCTGGAGCTGGAGCTCTTTGGATAACAAAGAACAGCCCAGCCCCAATGCCTACAGATCAAGAACGTCATGGGAAAACAACAGGTTATCAAATTAGTTTTTAAACTGTGAGGACCAGTTTCCTCTTAAGAATGGAAAACCTTTAAAGCTAGGAAAAATATTCAGATTCAATCACTTCTCTGTGGGCCTGCTTCTAGTCTTAGTACTAACGTTATAAAAGATTAGTTTGACACCAAGAGTGTCAAAAACAATTGCCAAATATTTCTTACATGCTGATCTCATATCTAACAACATACTGTATCAATGGATTCCATACTCCTGATAATGTGAATTAAATAAGCCAAAATAAAAGCACATTGTTTTATAGATCATGATTATAATTGTCAGAACTGAAGGAAGACAGAGATCTTTGCTAATTTTGAAGTGAATTTTTTTTTGATAATAGCTTTTTTTATTTTAATTAAAAGAAGCATTTCATTACAACAGCATTAACCTATTCAATAACATTTTTCTGAGCTAGGGTACATCTCTTTCAAAATTGGCTGTATATTTTTTTAAACTTCACAGTAACTTTAAATGTGCTTAGTGTTTAGTGTGTCCTCAGAGTAGGAATTCATATGTTTAAAATGCTCATCTTTATGAGATGTGGTCTTTCTTTTCCTGGTATTTGATGATTAAAATAGAAGGATCTCAGCTTTGAAACACGTTGGAAGTGAACTGCAAGGAGCACAGACAGGGTTTGGCACTTGATGGATGGCCATTATCCCAGAGGGTGGAAGAGAGTGTGTCCCATATGGTTGCAATTGACAAGCCAGTAGTCAGGCAAAAGGAGGCAAATCTCAATGTAAAGAGAGAACCACCATGTTTTGAAAACATATAATTAAAATTGCACAGCTAGTGCTACCATTAAATTAGCATAAATTCAAGGTAAACAGCACAATGATCAGATATGGTGAATACAGATAAAATATCCGTGTTTTTCAGCAATCTGAAAACAAACAAAATGTATTACAAAACCCTTTTTTGTTCTTTACCACTCACGTGGTGCCTGTTACAAGTAAAAATCCGTATCTGACTTCATCGGACAAGTCATAGTCAAAATGCAGACACATTACAAATGTTTACAATGAGCTGGGCAGTCTGCTCAATGAGTAAAGCACGTGCCATGTGAACATGACGACCAGAGTTTGGATCCCCCGCACCCATGTAAATTCCGAATAAGTGTGGCAACCTGCCTGTGATCCATGTGTGCATGGGAAACAGGGACAGGGATCCCCAGAGCAAGCTGGCTAACTGCACTGGCTGAATCAGTGAACTGAAAGTTTGAATAAGAGACAGTAAATGTAAGGTAGAGGGCAATCCAGGAAGATGCCGTATGTAAACCTCTGGTCTCCACAGACACACACACATGCACACAGATTTACACATGCCCCACACACAAACACAGACACAATACAATAAAAAAAATTATGATTGCCTTCAAGCTATGTATAGTAAGGTATATATGAAACATCGGTAAATTTTGTGTTTACCATAGTGTCTCATCCCTAATTGCGTTATGTATGTGCAATGCTCCAAAGTCTGAAGTTGAAAATGCGTCTGGTCCCAAGCCTTTTGGATAAAGGATGCTCCATATGCATGGTCTTCAGTGACGAAATCCATGCTCCAAGCTTCACAGACAGCACCTTCCTTAAACACCAACATATGTTTTCAGAGCTCATCCTGCCCATATGGACATATTTCCCACTGCCATAGTTAAAACCAATAATATATGCTTTTAAAAACAGGTGCATTGCTGGGCATGGTGGCACACGCCTTTAGTCCCAGCACTCGGGAGGCAGAGGCAGGCGGATCCTTGTGAGTTCAAGGCCAGCCTGGTGTACATAGTGAGTTCAGGTCAGCTAGGACTACAGGGAGACCCTGTCTCAAAAAGACAAAAAAAACAAAACAAACAAACAAACAAAAAAAAACCAGGTGCATGATATGCAGAGTTGGACTGTGCTATTTCCTAATGTGTCACTTGCTTGCAGCTGCACAATATTGGACCTAGCACCATCAGTGACACCATCCTGGAAGTGGGCTGGCCATTCTCTGCTAGAGGCGAATTTCTCCTCTATATTTTTCATCTTCAGACTCTGGGACCTCTACAATGTCAAACAAATCCTGAGATCAACCCACAGGATATAAAGGTAGGACCATAGTCTGACCAGTGGCTTGATTTATTTTTTGTGATAAGTAAAAGCTTTAATGGTGACTTGTTCTAAAAAAAAGTGAAGGGACTAGAGAGATGGCTCAACGGTTAAGAGCACTGACTGCTCTTGCAGAGGACCCAGGTTCAATTCCCAGTACCCACAGGGCGGCTACGAACTGTCCTTAACTCCAGTTCCAGTTCCGGGGGAATCCAAAGCCCTCTTCTGACCTCTGTGGCATTCCACGACATGGGTGCACTCACATACAGGCAGGCAATACACTCATACACATAAAATAAAAATAATAAATAAAATATTTTTAAAAACTGAAGTAGTTTTAGGTGGCATCACTGATCACTGATTAGACCTTTTCTTTTCATTTTAAATACCTAGCTTAATGTAAAGTCTCACTCCAAAAAAACTTAAATTTCTGAGTTTATTGTCATCTTTCAATAGGTACCTTTTATATATTGTTCAATTAATAATACAATCAATCAAAATCATAAATAGGCATATTATGCTTAGAAGAATTAGTACTAAATGCAATTTTAAAAAGTCTTTTGGCCTATTTCCCAAAGACATGAGGACCTTTGCCAAAATGGGCTCTTGCAGCTGTTGTCAACAGCAAGTGGTAAAAATGTGAGAATTTGCCAAGGGCCGTTTCAATACCCTGAGAACCACCAAATCAGAACATTCAGGGCCCCATGGTCGTGAAATATTATAGAGAAGCCCAAAACTGTGCATTTCAGACTTCAAATGCATCAGGAGATCTAGAAGAAATCATGGTCAGGGGTGGCCTGGGGGTCTATTAGAATACAGGGTCGAGTAGAATACAGTATAATCAGGGCCTGGCCTAGGGGGTCGTTTATGATGCAGGATCAGGGCAGGGCCTGGGGTTCTATTAGAGTACAGAGTCCGGGCAGGACCTGAGATTCTCCATCTCATCTACTCCTACCTTCTGTCCACCCAGCTGGTCTGCTGGCCGCATGGTCATTACCAAAGAGCTCAAGCATCCCAAAGGCTGATCCCATCCAGATAAGACTCAAATCTGGCTTAGGTTCCTTATGGGAAGGAAAAAAATTAACTAACATAAACCCTTGAAAATGTCACATTTGCATGAAAACAAAAACAAAGCTTTGTGAATCAGATGTTGTCCTCAGAAGACGACTTAAGAACATTCTAGTAGCTACAGGGACACCAGTGTCTCTGGTGCAAGCACAGACTTCCTGAAACACAGACAGCCATCCAGGACCCAGTCACAGGTCCTGGGTCGCTACCACAGTGAAAGGCCTTCTTTTTCAACCCCAGATGCTGTATGTAGAGGGAGGAAGCCTAACAGGAAGCTCAACAGTAAAGGACACAAGGGCGAGCAAACCTCCTTCTTTATGGAGGCTTTAAATAAAACCATTGCGTGACATAAAATTATTTCAAATACTTCTGGGAATTTTTTTCCCATTTCCTCTTTCTTTGCCCTTCATTGGGCTGATTTTGTCTTTAAGAGCAACAGCTTATTATAAAATAATACATTCAAATGTTAATGTATACTATTTAAATAACTCAAATTTTCACACGTCCTGATGTGTATTTAACATATACTATATTTCAGCCATAGATTTTTGAAGCACATGATCAAGCAGAAGATTTCTAACTCTCCTTGAATGCAATGTTTAGCTTATAGTTGACACTGTTTATATATGTTTGTATATATTATGTAACTTGTTTAATGTTACTATGCTGGTTGTAAGTTATTTTTTTTCCTTTGTGGCAATTTAACAATCATTTCCAATGATGGGAACAGTACTAAAAGATAATGTGCCTTAAATGTTGACAGATTCATGCAAACCGAGTGGGAGCATACATTAAGCACCTGGCATTCTCTGCTACCCACTTATTCTTTAAAGTGTTTGCATTAAAAATCTGCACAAGACTTGGAATTTTTTAAAAATGCAACTTGAGTATGCACAACTGTCGGTAACTCCAGTTCCAGGGGGTCTTCTGCCCTCTTCTGACCTCTGAGGGTATTGCACGACATGGGTGCACTTACACACATGCAGGCAATACACATAAAATAATAAATATTTTAAAAATAAAGTGTAGTATAAAGTTGTTTTCTTTTTAGTAAGAAACAGAGAAAATACATTTAGTGAAAAGAACACAGAGATACTTTTGTTAAAGTCCAGAATTAATTTAAATCCCAATATTCATTCTTACTTAACCCAGCAAGTGGACTAATTTACGATTATTTACTATTTACACTATGATTTGGATGTAGTGAGTTTTTTCCAAAATGAATGTGAAATGTTCCCTAATGTAATAGTGTTGAAAGGTGGGACCTTAAGGTGTGTTTGAATTGTAGGAGGTCTGCCTTTATTAATGGGTCAATGTCATTCTCACAAGAGCAAGTCTTGGGATAAGTCTGTTACTGTGAATGCAGCTTGTTAAGATGGCTTCTTTAAGCTTTTTCTTGCTTCCTATCTTGCCATGTGACCTCTTTCACCCTCTGCCAGGGAGTCCTAACCAGGAGCCAAGTGGGTACCAGCTCCATGGCCTCAGACTTACCAGCCTTTAGAACCATGAGCCAAAATAAATCTTCCCTAGTTAATATGGTCTCAGGGATTCTGTTCTAGCCACTAAAGATCATTAAGCACTTTGTTCTACAATTCTTTTCTTTCTTTTCTTTGTGTAATTTACAATTTTAATGAATATTTTTATTATTCATCAACAATTTCATACATGTATACAATGTATCTTGATCATATCCACTCCCTACTCCCCACTTCCAGTCTCCCTTGGCACCCCCCCAACATGTTCCCTTCCCACCTTCTCTTTTGTTTTTATAACCCACTGAATCCAGTTAGTGCTGATCTCATGAGCATGGGTGTGGGGCCATCCACCGGAGCATGGGTGACCCATTAAGTGGCCACCATCAAAGATGCCGACTCTGCCTCGGCCACCAGTCACCACCTGCCAACAGTGCCTCAGCTATGGGTGGAGCTTCATGAGCCCCTTATCCACCCATGCTGAAATGCTGACTGGGTTGATTTTGTAGCAACAGTGAGTTCCTGATTGCAAAAGCCTTGTCATGGGCAGAAGACAGCATTTCACAGCGCCTCCGCGGGCTCCCCCTCTCCGCGGGCCCATGCCAACTTTCTGAAGTTGAGAGACTTGCACTGTTCCCCACTATATTTTCCCCTGCCACCATTTAAGTGACTTCCTTTCAGTCACATTCATTTCTCTTGTGCTCAGATATACATCTTAGTCAACTTTTTCTCCCCTGTGTATTCTTGGCTTTGCTCACTTATTGCTTGTTTCCCCAGGAGTAGCTGGTACAATTTAGCTATTCTACCAAGTTAATCCAATATCCCCCAAGCTTGAGTGAGGGACACCAATTGCCTCTATATGGGATTATTCTAACCTAAGGGGTCTTAAATCAGCAATGAGCAAGTAGTCTCACCCACATTCTCTTTACTTGTCTCTACCAGAACATCAGCTTCCAAGGTAGGATGGGACAAGAGTGACCATACACTGATGCCACTAGAAGTCAGTGCATTTCTTTTTTCTTTCTTTTTTCTTTCTTTTTTTTAAATATAGTTGTCTGCACCCCATCAGGCTTCATAGAGATTCACACAACTTGGTTTGTCAACAGTGTCCAAACCTCAGAGTCTAAAGAGAAGTAGAAACATGAGGTAACAGGTTCAGGCACTAAAGGGAGAGCTACACACCTCTTTCTCTCACCCGAAGAAGCCAAGGCCCAGCTGAGATCAGCAGAGGGTCAGCTGAGGTCGGCAGAGGGCTATGCAAAGGTGTTAGTCATTTCCTCCTACTGGTACTTTGGCCCCAACAAAAGAGGTTGCTGCCTTTCGAGTTGTGTCGGCAGTGATGGTTTTGACCTCTTTGGATTTGGTTACCTGTCTTCTGTGACTTCAGGAGAATGAACAAACATCCATGATGGTTCTGCCTCCACACTTCACGGTCTAGGACAGAAGGAAAGTATTTCAATGTGGCATTTCTTCCCCATCCACCATCTAAAACATTTTGAAACACTCAACTGTCTACAGCATTCAGACCAATCCATTAAACCTAATTTGTTCCAGATCCTTCTTGGAATACGATTTTAGAGTTGAGCAAAGTGTTTCTCAACTAGACTAAAGACAGTAAAATATTGTTTTTCAAACTACCAATTTTGTTATTTTGGTGGACTTTATGCTTGGATTGAGACAGTCTTTTAAACACACTATGATCTTTAGATAAGATGAGGTTGAAAAATAAGCCCAACCAAGGAAATAGGCGTTTCATAAATAGTAAAGGATTTTAAGTTTGTTTTTTGTTTTTTATTTTTGTTTTGGGTTTTTTTTGGGGGGGGGTGGCAAGATTCTATAATAAGCAGCCCAAGTGTGAGATGCCCAGAAACAGGGCTAAGAGATGTGAGGCTGTATCTAGGGAGAAAGATGAAGATGCTCAAATACAACCTGCCCTAGGACTGGGAATGACTGCAGTGGCAGAGACTGGAGCAGCAAGAAGCACTGGAGAAGGCCAGGTCCCAAGCACGCCATTGGAGGCACAGGAGGTGACTACAAAGTCTCCTCTTGCTTCAGCAAGACTGATCTCATAGGAAGTTCAAATTACAACCAGATCGTACAAACAGGGATGGCAGGAACCCAGAACTAGTTCATTTGTCAAGGATTATAGCCCTGCAAATAGTTTTCTAGAATCAAGTGGGCCTGCAGACAGTGGCTTGGCAAATTTACATAGTTTGTCTTAGCCTTAAGAGTACTCTGTTTTGTTAACTGTCTTTAGTCTACTGGTTCTCATTAATTCAAAACTCAGGGACACTGTTGTTAGTTCTCACTCATTCTTCCCTCCCTAGCCTTTAGCATGTATGTAGCCCTGGCTTCAAACACACACACACACACACACACACACACACACACACACACACCTTTAAAATCAAGTCATAAAAACTAAAGAGCATTTAGCCTACATTTACCATTGCCCACTGT